TATCTAATATCCAACTATTCAATCACATAATTAGGAACATATTTATATCTCATATAGAAGGGAATACATTTCCTCTCCTTCCTTTCTGGCACATTCTCTTATTTTCTTTCTTCACTCTTCTCGTTATTAACACTTATAACTTTACTATTTTATTTTCACTTTTAATTTCCATCTTGGGTCCCTGACACAGACCCTGCCTGTGATGCTCCTCTTGTGCATGCAGGTGAGCTGGACCTGTGCGCATGCGCCTGTGGCTCCGCGTCCTGAGGTTTCCATGGCAACCGGGTAGCTGCCTCCATCTGCCAGACCTGGAGGTCATTGTTGTTTTTCCCAGTTTCTCTCCCTGGGACACCAAGACTTTGAGGTCCTCTGAACCCCAAGACAAGGTCTAGGTGTGGCCTATATACTCGAATGGCTGTGGTGCGGGGCCCTTCCTGGGTGCGCAGGAGGCGCTTTCCCCGCAGGGGTTATGTGGAAGGCACCGGGGCCTGGAGAAGGTCTGGCCATTGGCCACTGTTCCAGCGGTTCCTAGGAAACCGCCAGGATGGTAACAATGCCATCCACCTTGAGCCCACCTCGCGTCCTCACCTCCACCTGCCGGCCTGGGGCTTGAACTTAGGGTCTGGGCGCTGTCCCTGAGCTCTTCCACTCAAGGATAGTGCTCAACCACCTGAACCACAGCTCCACTTCTGGTATTTTGGTGGTTAATTGGAGATAAGCGTCTCATGGACTTTCCTGCCTAGGCTGACTTTGACCTTAGATTGTCAAATCTCAGCCTCTTGAGAAGGGAGCCCCTGGCTCACCCAGCCTGTGTTACTTCCTCATTCATTTTAAGTCTATGCTCTAATTGCACAAATGGTTTACACAGTGGTATTTCACAATGCATGTATTATCTTTTAATTAGATTAACCCTTCACAACAGTTGTATTCACAATAGCTAAACTGCCCAAGCAGCCTAGATGTCTTACAAATGATGTCTGGATAACGAAAAGGTGTTATAGATACACAAGGAAGTAGTATTCAGTCATAAATAAAAATCGAATTAAGTTTTTTGCAGGAAAATGGAGAGAAACTGGAGATCAACATATTAAGGTTCTCATATTCAAAAATCCAGATATATAAAAGGTCTATTTAGGCACTATTCAAAATCTAGATATAAAAGTTCTATCTACCTACTACCCACAGATAATGTATATGCATGTATATGATATGTACACATACAAGATAGTATATCTCTATAGGTAGTACATACAGGTACATGTACAAAGATATGTATAACTGTATATGATATGTATAGGTATGTATATGTGTAGATATGTATCTATAGTTGGTTGAAAACAGGATTGTAAATATAACATTGTTTCAGGGTATGAAAGGATGAGGGATAAGGAAAGAAAATTATAGAAGTTAAATATCAGCATATCTTTACTTTTGAAATTCTTTATCCTATAAGCATCTTAACTCCTTTCTTTTACATTCTTATCAAGGGTACAATGGTTGTTTTTCATAGTTGCTTAACAATATTTAAAATATTTGGCTTCGGGCTGGGCATATGCCTTAGTGGTAGAGTGCTTGCCTAGCATGCATGAAGCCTAGGATTTGATTCCTCAGTACCACATAAACAGAAAAAGCCAGAAGTGGTGCTGTAGCTCAAGTGGTAGAGTACTAGCCTTGATCAAAAGAAGCTCAAGGACAGTGCCCAGGCTCTGAGTTCAAGACCCAGGACTGGCAATATGTATGTATGTATATGTGTGTGTATATATGTGTATGTGCACATGTGTGTGCATATATATATATATATGGTTTCTTGGAGAGTTGTCATCACTGCTGTCTGCTTCAACCAGATGAGCCAGGTACTGGTGGCTCATACCTGTAATCCTAGCACCTCAAGAGGCTGGGATTCAGGGATCATAGTTTGAAGCCAATTCTGGTCAGGTAAGTCCATGAGACTCTTATGTCTAAATTTACGACCGAATCCCCTCCCCCAACTAAAAAGGGAAAAAAAAGCTGGAAGTGGAGCTACAGCTTAAGTGGTAGAATGCCAACCTTGAGCGGAAAATAGCTTAGGGACAGCATCCAGGCCCTGAGTTCCAAGGTTTACACTTTAAAAAAAAATAAAAAAAGGAAGAGATATCTTAGTAGATGCACAAAGCACAATGCAGAAACACAGGAATATGCAAAAGGCCAGGAAATATGACTCCTGCAAAATTCAGAATTCTTCAACAACTAAATAGAAAGATGCTGACATGATGAAATGCCAAAAAATCCAAAAGTCTAATTTTAAATTAAGCCAATTGTCTGATCAATCATCTTAAAAAGAGGCAACAAATAGATGATTGAGTTGAGGAAGTCTGTTGAAGAGTTGGTCAAAAATTCAATGAAAAACTAGAGATTCTGAAAAAAAAAGTCAAATTTCAGAAAGGAAAGGCTCCATAAATCAAATAAAATGAAGTGAAGAGCATTACCAATAGGCTAGATTTAGAAGGAAGCATGATTGTTAGGTGCTGATGAGGTTGGAGGTTGAAATCTGAGGATCGTGATTTAAAGCTAGCTCTGACAGGAAAATTCATGAGACTCTTACCTCCAATTAACCACCAAAAAGCTCAAGTGGTAGAATGCCAGCCTTGAGTGAAAAAGCTAAGGGACAACACTAGGGCCCTGAGTTGAAGCTCTAATAACCTCCTCCCTCCCCGCCCTTCACACAAAGGAAAAATTATTTGAACCATTATTTCATGCACATATTTTTATTCATCAGTTGCGATGTAGCACACATACACTACAGTGTACATATAAATTCATCTACTAATACAGTTTTACAATGGTCCTGTCAGATCAAAACAATATTTTCTGCTGGTTGAGACTTCATATAGTCCCTTCAAATCAATACATACTCATCCCTTTGGGTGTTTTTTTGTTTGTTTTGGTTTGGGGATTTTTGGTCTGTCATGAGGCTTGGAACTCAGAGCCTGAGTTCTGTCCCTGAGCTTTTTCACTCAAGGCTAGAACTCTATCACCTTGAGCCACAGCACCACTTCCAGTTTTTCAGTGGTTCACTGGAGATAATCTCACTGACTTTCCTGCCCTGGTTGGCTTTGAATCATGATCCTCAGATCTCAGCCTCCTGATTAGCAAGGATTACAGGCATGAGCTACTGGCACCGGTCGCCTTTAGTATCTGCATAAAATGGAATCTTGTGTGTGCGTGCGCACGTGCATGCACACACAACAAGTGCATGTGTGCATGTGCACGCACATGCACCTGCACACACACACATGCTAGTCCTGGGCCATGAACTCAGGTCTGGTGTCCTTGAACTTCTTTTGCTCAAGGCTAGCCTTTTACCATTTGAGCCACAGCTCACTTCTGGACATATGTGTATATATATATATATATATATATATATATATATATATATATGTGTGTGTGTGTGTGTGTGTGTGTGTGTGTGTGTGTGTGTGTATACACACACATACATATACATGTATATATACATATATATGTATGTATGTATATATATATACATATACATATATGTAGTTTATTGAAGATAAAAGTCTTACTGACTTTTCTGCCCAGGCTGGCTTTGAACCACGATCCTCAGATCTTAGCCTCCTGAGTAGCTTGGATTCAAAGCATAAGCCACTGACACCCAGCATAAAATGGAATCTTTTAGACAAATGTCTGGTATAGAAAAGAAAAGTCTTTCTTTTAAAAAGGCTCTTAACTAGCTGAGAAGCTCATGTGTGTAATCCTATTTACTTAGCAGGCTGGAGGACAGAGGCTCAAGGTAAGCTCATGTTTCCATATCTTGGAGTTGGTTTCAGTATTTTATAAAGATATGAAGAGGCACTTAGGCATTGTGTTTTTGTGTTCTTCTCCTAAGAGTATCCTCTTTTGGCCTCACTGTGCGCAAGTCTCTAGAATCCTGTATAATTTATCATATCCTAGTGCATTTTAGATCTAATTTTTTTGTCAGTCATGGGTCTTGAACTCTGGACCTGGGTGCTGTCCCTCAGCTTTTCAGCTCAAGGTGAGTTCTCTACCAGTTAATCCGTAGTGCCACTTCCAGCTTTCTGGTGGTTAACTGGAGATAAGAGTCTCATGGACTTTCCTGCCTGGGGTGGCTTTGAACCGTGATCCTTAGATCTCAGCCTCCTGAGTAGCTAGGATTACAGGCATGAGCCACCAGCACTCAGTGGTTAGATGAAATTTTTGCTGGCCTCAAACTAAAACTAATTCTTCTGATCTCCAACTCTCATGTGATTAGGACTGAAGGCATGAGTTGATGCATCTAGCTAAAGGAAATTGTTGTTCATAAGTTACCCCCCAAAAAAATTTATTCTTATCACTCAGGAATCTGAAGAAACACCAAATAGGTGAATTTTTATTATGTTACAGGAATGGAAAAGGAAAGGAAATGTAGCAGAGAAGCTGCAATGATGCCACAGTCCACACCATGGGAAGATAGGCAGACATGGCTAAACCTTCATATTGCTGCACCCATGTGATCAGGAATGAGCCCAATATTTAGAAGTCAGCTTCTTAAAGCAATCCAGACAGGAAGGGGCTAGATGACTGCGTCTCCACCAAAAATTCCCAATGATTGCATAACATGTCTTCCCTTAACAAGAGATCTGGAAGGTTCAACTCGAGGTTTGCCATAACCTCCACTACAAGAAATGAGAGCTGGATGTTTTGTAACCTAATACCCAAGTCATTGATGCACTGTTAAAATAAGTTAACTTAGCCAAGTACTGGTGGCTCATGCCTGTAATCTCAGCTACTCTGGAGGCTGAGATCTGAGTATCACGGTTCAAAGCCAATCCTGGTAGGAAAGTCCATGGACTTATCTCTAATGAATCACCAGAAAACCAGAAGTGGCCCCGTGGCTTAAAGTGGTAGAGCACTCGCCTTGAGCCAAAAAGAGCTCAGGGATGGCACCAGGTCCCAAGTTCAAGCCCCACAACCAACAACAACAGCAACAACACAAAGAGGAGCTGGGGACATCAGAGGAAGGACCCCAATGGCTGCACCCCCATTGGAGAGGAGGAATTAGAGAAGTCCCAGAGAGAAAGTGAAGCATACGGTGATCCAACTCCCACCCAATGAGGAGAAGAAGCTGGCATAAATCTGAGGGAAGTTCTGCGTCTTGGCAGGGAAAATAAGAGCTATAAGGGTTTGAAAAACCCTGGCTTCATTTACGGGAGCAGAAGGACACGGCAGGTTTCTTGCAAATCCAGAAATTCTTAAATGCACACTTCTCATCATTCCAACCTCTTTTTTTAAATTCTGCACAGTCTTCATCTTCCTGGTTGTTGGGCTCTCCTTCATTCCAATATGTGCTAAAGCTGCAAAAACCCATGCACACAGGCCTGAGGTCCTTCTCATTCATCACACACAAAATGGCAGACAAGCCTTGTTCTGGACCCAATAATCTGCCTGGTGGGTCTTGACATTAGACCCTTCTGTCTACTGGGTGAGATTTTTTTTTGTTAGCTACAAAGCAGTGGAAATGGAGCTTAAGTGGTGAAGCACCAGCCTTGAGAGAAAAAGCTAAGCAACAGCAGGAAGCCTGCAGTTCAAGCCTCAGTACCAGCACACACACACACACACACACACACACACACACACACACACAGCAGATATATACAAACCAGGTAGTCTGGGCTTTATATCAAAATTTCCTCTCTGCTGGGTACGAATGGCTCACACCTATAATCCTCGCTACTCAGGAGGCTGAGATTTGAAGATTTGGGCTCAAAGGCAGCCCAGGTAGTGAAGTCTGTGAAACTCTTATCTCTAATCAACCACCACCAATCAGAAGTGGTGCTGTGGCTCAAAGTGGTAGAGCGCTAGCCTTGAGCAAAAAGATCTCAGGGACAGCACCCAGGCCCTGAGTTTAAGTCTTACAACTGACAAAAAAAAAAAAAAAAGGAACACTCCATTCTCACACACTTGCGCATACACACACACACACACACACACACACACATTCAATAAGGTGTTTCATTCTGTCTGGGTTTACCTGTGCGACAGAGCTGAACCATTCACCCACTGCCAATTATCTTCCTTTTCCAAGTCTGAGATCCCAATCCAAGCTCGGTGCTTTTTCGGCAAGTTGAATTTTAGGAACTTCTGGAGGGAGAGAAAAGGAGTCAGAGTCCTCTGTTTGGGGTTTTTCATTCATTTGTTTGTTTTTTGTTTTTTTGTCAGTCATGGGGCTTGAACTCAGGGCCTGGGCACTGTCCCTGAGCTCATTTTTGCTCAAGGCTAGCACTCTAGCACTTTGAGTCACAGTTCTACTTGTAGATGTCTGGTGATTAATTGGAGATATGAGTCTCACAGACTTTCCTACCTGGGGCTAGCTTTGAACCACAATCCTCAGATCTCAGCCTCCTGAGTAGCTAGGATTACAGGTGTGAGCCACCAGCACCTGGTTGTCCTCTGTTATTTTTTTGAGTCGTGGCTCCCCAGTCTCTTTGGGAAAAGGTTCTCCTTGCAACCTGCCACCCAGCCTTCTAAGGTGTGACTCTTCACTGCTGTAAGTGTGCTTAAAAGGTGTGAGCACCCCTACCCTGGCACTGTATGGCCAGGTGTGCTATGGTTCACAAGCAGACCATGGCACAAACTGGCTTCTGCACAGACGTGTTTGACACTGATTACCTACATAAGGAGTTCTGAGCATGCCACAAGAGCAACCCACAAGAGTGGGTTTAGTGGACTCAGACCCTAGCGGGTCACCGTTATGGCTCAGGCACATCACCTGTTTTCAGCTCTGCCTTGGGTGATGCCCCATTGCATGTGTGGCACCAGCTTTGCTGCCAATATTTACACCAAGGAAATTGGCAACTGGCCTATATCAGGATACCTTCCTGTCTGCCCCAGAAAACAGGTTTTGTTTTGTTTTGTGGAAGAGGGTTTATTTTTTTGTTGATTTTGAGTGTGTGTGTGAGTGTGTGTGTGTGTGTGTGTGTGTGTGTGTGTGTGTGTTCTTGAACTTAGGGCTTAGGCTCTGTCTCTGAGCTTTTGTACTCAAGGATGGTGTTCTAACCCTTGAACCACAGCTTCACTTCTGGCTTTTTGGTGGTTCCTGGGTTCATGGACTTTCCTGCCCAGGCTGGCTTGGAACTGAGATCCTAAGATCTTAGCCTCCTCAGTAGCTAAGATTACAGGGGTGATCCACCAATGGCCAGCCCCAGAGCATGTTTTAGATACAGCTGGGCGCCAGTGACTCATGACTCTCATCCTAGCTACTCAAAAGGCAGGGATCTGAGGATTGTGGTTCCAAGCCATCCCAGGCAAGAAAGTTCATGAGACTCTTATCTCCAATGAACCACCAGAAAACCAGAAGTGGCGCTGTGGCTCAAAATGGTAGAGTGCTAGCCTTGACCGAAAGAGCTCAGGGACAGTGCCCAGGTCCCAAGTTCAATCCCTACAACTGACCAAAAAAAAAAGCCAAAGCACCTATGGGGATGACTTACATGTTAGGCATTCTCCCAGCCACTTGCTCGTGCTCACAGCTCACCTGTCACCTCGTCTCATTCGCCCCCTTCTTCTACTACTTTCCAGGAGGGGCACCTAGCCCCTCCTCCTGACAGCTGTGTGCCCCCACCGCCCCCTTCCACCTGAACATTGGTTGAGTGCAGGCCCCACACCAACAGAGGCTCCATTGGCGCACCTGCTCCTCCAAGTTTTCGATGATGACCAGCTGGGCCCCCATTTCCTGGCAGGCGATGAGAGAATCGGTCCAGTTCCGGGTGGACTTGGAGAAGAAGTAACAGTTTCCTTGGAAGGACGTCCAGTCCCAGGGGCAGGGCCGGCACAGGCGGTCTAGGGGAGGAGGGAGGAGGGTCAGGCTGGACTCATCCATGGATGTCATTCCTGTCGGCCCCCCAACCTTCAAGCCCTCAACAGGCAGGGCCTTCCCTCCCTCAATGTCATTCCCCTCTCCACTTTCTGAACCCCTTCTCCCCCATCAGAAGCCAGGCGTCATGGGCTCATCTCTAGTCTGGGGGACATAGGGGCCTTAGAGCTCAGAACAGACAGCAGAACCTTGGCTTAACTGAACACCTATTATGTGCATGCACCCCGCTCCCATCCCCTAGGAACACCAAGTGCCACCTTGATGTTAACCCTGGGTTCTAAATTTACAAGGGAGGTAACTGAAGCTCAGAGAGGGCCAGCGACACTCGCACAGGGACCTCGTCTGAAGTGGGGAGGGGGGTCTCCTCGGCCACCCAGACATTTCACCACTCACCTACTCCAGATCGCAGCTGATTCAGTTCTTGATAGATCTTCTCCTGTTTCTGGTCACTGGGGTTCTTGGGTACTGTACACATCCCCACACACACACAAAAAAAAACAGAAGCTATAATCACTGCACACCCAGGGTGGACATTTAGTCAAATTTTTTCTGCACACACCCCCCCCAAATCCATCAAGAATATCATTTCAAAGATGGAAGGTGTTGGTTCAATCCCACTTGAAGCTGAAGCATCCCAGACTCTCCCTTGTTCTCCCTCCCCTACAGCAGGGAAGCCTCTAGAAGGCTCTGGAATCTTTGACCCTAGACTCTTCCTGCCCCTCCCCCCAGCTTCCCTAGTTCCTTCCTGAATCTGGTTGCTGCACCAGAGCAAAAAACACCCCGCCTTCAGGCCTGCCTCACCTCTGTAAAGGAATGCCACCAGGACCCCAACAAAGAGAGTGATGAAGAGCAGCTGCAGTAGCAGGGGCCCAAGGCCATGGCCCAGATGGCCTACGGAGAGAAATAGGGGTTTCTGGAGCTGAAGTCCCCACCATCACCTGAAGTGGGAGGGAACATAATAAACTCCTGAAGAAGGCATTGAACTCCATCTCATCTTCACCTCCCTCCTCCTCCCTGCAGGACCAGAGAAAGTTAAAGAAAGCAAGATTCTGGCCTGGTACCAGCCTCGTCTCCAAGCACACAGGTTCTAGATCGTAGCTCCCCTACCCCACTTACACCCCAAAATCTTATCCTAGTTTCTAGAGCTGGACTTTGTCCTCCAAGTTGCCGTAACCTTTGCTTCTCTGTTCCCACGTCTCCAGGAGGTGCCTTCTAGCCCTTATCAGCATCTACCCACATTGTACCTGTAGGATGGTGGGATCCAGGCTGTGGTTCAAGGCCAGAGCCTCTAAATGAAAACCTGCTGCTGACCATCACCTCTTCCTCTGAATGGCAGAGTGTCCCCAGAATGCCTATAGTCCCAGCCCAAGCTCACTTCCTCAAGTAAATGACAGTCATCGCTATCTGCCACCCCGGCCCTCTCACCCCCCAGTTCCCTGGCCTTGCTAGTGACCACAGATTTTGTTCATCTCCCTGTCTTACTCCCCATACCCTACTGTCCCTCTTAAAGAAAAATGGTGGTGCAGGGGGGTGGGGGGGAGTGTAACCGGAAATGGTTATCGAGGGCGGGGCTGAGGAAGTGGCACATATCATTGCCAGATCTCGAAAGATTTCACTCAGGTTATGGAGGCCTGAGCTCTACAATGGAAGTGTTTGGTCTGTCTTTAGAACCATTTTCTTCTGGAGTTCCGCCCCCCCCCTCGATTGTTTGCCGCCGTGCGTGTGTGTGTGTGTGTGTGTGTGTGTGTGTGTGTGTGTGTAATGGTCCTGGGGCTTGAACTCAGGCCTGGGCACTGTCCTTGAGCATTTTTGTGCTCAACATTGGCATCCTACTATTTGAGTCACAGTTCCCCTTTTGGCTTTTTGTTAGTTAATTGGGAAAACATTCTCACCCAGGCTGGCTTTGAACTGTAGTCCTCAGATCTCAGCCTCCTGAGTAGCTAGGATGGCAGGTGTGAGCCACCAGCACCTGCGCGTCTGGGGTTTTCTCTAATGGAACTGAGGTTTGAACCTCAGGGCCTCCTGCTTGCTGAGCAGGTGCTTTATCCCTTGAGCCATCCCCTTTTTACTTTCTAGTTTTGTTTTGTTTTGTTTTAATAAGGAAAGGCCTTGTGGGGTAGGGAGACAAATCTTGCTTGCATACTACTGTGGAAGTGCAATCTATCTATGCATCATTATTTCCAGGAGGTACAAGGAAGATACATAAATACTCACCTATTTTAATAAATGAAGAAATAAATAATACAAAGTGGAACCCCATAGCATGATGTTCAAAGATTCTCTGACCTAGGCATGATAGGGTACCTCTGTAACCCTAACTTTCTGGAAGGTTTCAAGTTCAAGGACAGCCTGGACTAAAGAGACCCTTTATCACAACTGTCATCCTAGCCACTCAGGAGGCTAAGATTTGAGGACTGAGATTTAAAGCCAGCCCAGGCAAGAAAGTCTGTGAGACTTTCATCTCCAATTAATCACAGAAAAAGCCAGAAGTGGGGCTGTGGCTCAAGTAGTAGAGTTTAAGCCTTGAGCATAAAAGCTCAGGGACAGCATATAGGTCCTGAGTGAAAGCCCCAGGATTAGAAGAAAAAAAGTAAAATAGATTCTCTTACATGCAAGTGTCCAAAATGTCCTATAATATCTCTTGCCAAAATAAACTCCTTTTGCTAATTAGTCCCCTATGCTCAAACCCTATCATCTTTGAATATTATTCCTTCATGCATTTACATTTTTTCAATACTTAATGTTTCATAATAGGATAAAGGGAAATAAATAATAAAGTCTTAAGTTCTGTCCAGGGCTGGCCTCAGCTACTTTATACATAACTGGGATGACAGGCTGGCACCACTACACCCAACTTGTTGGTTGAGATAGGATCTTGCTAACATCTTTACCTAGCCTCGAACAGTAATCCTCTCCATCTCTACCTCTTTTTTGGGTGGGGGTTCCGGTCATGGGGCCTGAACTCTGGGCCTGGGCACTGTCTCTCAGCCCTTTAGCTCAAGGCTAGTACTATACCACTTGAGCCACAGCGCCACTTCCGGCTTTTTTCTTTTTGCTTATGTGGTGCTGAGGAATTGAACCCAGGGCCTCAGGCATGCAAGGCAACCACTCTACCACTGAGCCACCTTCCCAGCCCCCATCTCTGCCTCTTAAATTGCTGATATTACAGGCATGAACTACTGCACCTAGCCCTAAAGCAAGTAAATCATCATATGTGTATGTGTGTGTATACACACACGTATATATATATATATATATGATATATATGTGTGTGTGTTTGTGTGTCTTTTTTATGTGGTCCCTACCTATAGCAAATCCAGCCCTCTAAAGCGCACCCCATATTCTAACCAAGACTCCTCCATCTCCATTTGCTGAAATTGTTACTTGTGATTTCTGCTGACTTTTCATGTTGAGAATAATTTTTTGTTGCTGTTTTGTTTTTTATCGGTCATGGGGCTGGACACTGTCCCTGAGCTCTTCAGCTCAAGGCTAGTGCTCTACCACTTGAACCATAGTGCTGCTTCCAGCTTTTTCTGCTTATGTGGTACTAAGGAATCGAACCCAGGGCCTCATGCGTGCAAGGCAAGCACTGTACCGCTAAGCCACCTTCCCAGCCCCGAGAATAATTTTTTAACCTTTATTTAAGCCTGCTATAATCTGGGACCGTTCTTTTTTTCCCTGATTTATTTCCTTTGTTTTCAATTAACATTTCAAAGCATATGTTTGTTCCACACAAGAGGGCTTCATTGCAACATTTCCAAACATGCACAAAATGCGAGCATTCAGCTCAGCCCCTCCATCATCTTTCACATCCCCTTTTCCTCCCCTTCTTAAGACAACAATCTGCACATTTCATCATTTTATTTATTTTTTGGGGGGGTCCGGTGATGGGGCCTGAACTCTGGGGCCTGGGTGCTGTCCCTCAGCTCTTCAGTTCAAGGCTAGCGCTCTACCACTTGAGCCTCAGCCCCACTTCCAGCTTTTTCTGCTTATGTGGTGCTGAGGAATCGAACCCAGGGCCTCATGCATGCAAGGCAAGCACTCTACCACTGAGCCACCTTCCCAGCCCCATTCATCATTTTATCTTCATCCAGATAGAGAACATTTTCCCCAAAGTCCCCCTCCCATCCCTCAGCAGAGCCTGCCTGACTTTCCTATCATCCTTTAGTTTATATTAATTGTACAAAGGACACAGTGTATTTCACATGTTCACATATATTTTGTGTGTGTGTGTGTGTGTGTGTGTGTGTGTGTGTGTGCCAGTCCTGGAGCTTGAACTCAGGGTCTGGATACTGTACTTATGCTATTTTTTCCTTAAAGCTAGTGCTCTACCACTGGAACCAAAAGCTCCACTTCCAGCTTTGTGGTAGTTTATTGGAGCTAAGAGTCTCTCTGACTTTCCTGCCCGGGTTGGCTTTGCACTGAGATCCTCAGATCTCAGCATCCTGAGTAGTTAGGATTACAGATGTGAGTCACCAGCCCCTGGCTGTGCATGTTTGTCTTTTATGAGCAATGTTTGTAGTCAAATTGCTAGGTGATGTGTAGTTAGACTCTCACTGTCTTATGGATAGAAGAGCTCTAGGACTGAAGCCACCTAATGAATGAATTATGGTTCTTCAGTGAGCCTTATCTTCCCCTGGCCTTGGATGAAATCCTTCTACCTCACTTTATCACATGGAGAAAAGGGCTTGTCAGATCTCTAGATCTGAGGGGTGTGGCTGAGTGGTAGAGCATCTGCCTGGCAACTTTGAGACCCTGAGTTCAAATCTCAGCATCATGAGAAAGAAGAAAGAGAAAGGGACACAGAGAGAGGGAAGGAAGGAAGGAAGGAAGGAAGGGACAGAGGGAAGTCTAGGGCCAAAGAAGATGTCTATGGAAGACAGGCAGAGAGGAAGAAGCAGGATGGTTCTATACCAATAGAGACAAGCATTAGTTGAGCACAGGAAAGAATTCCCTGATACTTCAGGTTACAGGGCAAATCCCCAGGCAAAAGGGAGATGGAGGCTGGGAAGATGGAAGGGAATTATGCAGGGATGGGATAAAGCAATCATGTCGGTAAAAAGAGAGGGATGAAGGGATGAATTGCATGGAGAGTGCCAAAGGCTTAGAGGCCCAAGTTCAAAGTCAAGGAGACAGAAGGAAGAACAGCAGGTGCATAATCCCTGGACTCCCAGATGCTGAGGAATCCCAGGGCTATTGCAAATGGAAGAAGGAACTGCCACTGTGTCCTAGATATCTGGGCAACAGAGAAACTAGACGTCATTTGTTGGAGCAGGGCCATGAGGACTTATTGCAGATCCAGTATTTCTCCAGATCGCATGTGACGTCATTCCAACCATCAGCACTAAATTCCGCACAGTTCTTCTCCGTGTCATTGTTGGGCCTATCTTTCTTCCAGTACTTCACCAGGCTGCAAGAATCGTGACACTATCAGTCTCTGCCCCAGCATCCCTCTGGAAGATCTTAATTTGGTATTTACTCATTGATTGATTGATTGTATTGTGGGTCTTGGGGCTTGAACTCTGTGTCTGGGTGCTGTTCCTGAGCTCCTTAGCTCAAGGCTAGCCCTCTACCACTTGAGCCACAGCACCACTTCTGCCTTTTGCTGTGGTTCATTGGATATAAGAGTCTCACAGGTGGCTTAGTGGTAGAGTGCTTGCCTAGCATGCATGAAGCCCTGGGTTCAATTCCTCAGTACCACAGAAACAGAAAAAGCCAGAAGGGGTGCTGTGGCTTAAGTGGCAGAGTGCTAGCCTAGAGCAAAAGAAGCTCAGGGACAGTGCCCAGGCCCTGAATTCAAGTCCCAGGACTAGCAAAAAAGTTTTTTTTTAAAGGTCAGAGTCTCACAGACTTTCCTCTTATCTCCAAAGAGCCATAGGGAAGCAGAGCCCACGCTCTAAGTTCAAGCCTCAGGACCAACAACAACAAAAATCTCTGCTTTCAATCCATAAAAACCAGCAGCCCTTATGGCTGGAGAGGGGGCATGGAGCAGGGGAGGAACCCCAATAATATATCAAGTCAGACCCCACTCTAGAGCAAATTCTCTTGGCCTGCGATACCTTTGTGACAAAGGTGAGCCATCCAGCCAGAGCCAATCGCCTTCCCGTCCCACGTCTGAGAGACCAATCCAGGAGGGGTGTTTATGCTCAGAAATCATCTCCAGGAAACTCTGAAGGGGGAGAAGAGGAGTTGGGAGGGCACTCTACACCCCCTTTGCAGCCAATGTCCCTCCATGTCCAACCTTCTACTGAACCAGACCCATGAGCCCCCACCTGGGCTCAGGGGGGTCTCTGCTCCTCTCATGTGTGCATGCAGTGCGCAGTTGGGTTCTAGCTCACACACATACACACACACACACTTGGAAATCGGATGCATTTATCTGTCCTATGAGTTCTAAGCATCTGAGCAGGAATTTATTCATGGCTGGGTTTAAGTGTTGGAGCCAGCTCATGCCAATTCACAATTGATGACTTTCCTCAGTTTCCGTTTTTAGGCTCTGCACTGAGTGATATCCCTTCCCCCTCCATAGTGGCTGGACCTCAGACATGGCGGCGGTATTTACACCAAGGAAACTGGCAGAGGGTCCACTCAGGATGGTTTTTTCCCCCACGAATCAATTGGGACCCAGTAGCAAGCACACCCATGGGTTTCCCCTTATATTTTAGGGGTTCCTCCCTCCCCGCAAACATCCATTCAGAACTTGTGGGTGTCTCCTTACAAGATGCTCATGAAACCTACCTTCCTTCCTCTCCTCTTCCTCAGATGAAAAAAAGCAACCCCTCTTTCAGAAATGCCCTCTAAGCTGGGTGCCAGTGGCTCACCCCTGTGACCCTCGCTACTCAGGAGACTGAGCTCTGTAGATGGCAGTTCCAAGCCAGCATAGGCAGGAAATTCTGTGAGACTCTTATCTTTAATGAACCACCAGAAAACCGGAAGTGGCACTGTGGCTCAAAGTAGTAGAGCACTAGCCTCAAGCACATAGAGCTCAGGGACAGCGCCCAGGCCCTGAGTTCAAACCCAGAACAGAAGGAGAAGGAGAAAGAGAAGGAGAAGGAGGAGAGAGAGGAGAGAGGCAGGGAGGGAGGGAGGAAGGAAGAAAGGAAGAAAGGAAGGAAGGCAGGCAGGCCCCACTTCCACCCCAGCTGGCCTCCAACCACAACCAAACCCCCACCAGATGCACCTTTTCCTCATCATTTTTGATCATCACTAGCTGGGCCTGCATTTCCTGGCAGGCAGTGACTGAATCATTCCAGTTCCGTCTGGACTTGGAGAAGAAATAACAGCTCTGCTGGAAGAGCATCCAGTCCCAGGGGCAGGGGCGACACATGCTGTCTGTTGGGGAGAGACAGTTCAGGTCTGGACACTCCCCCCAACACATACACACACACACGATTGTCAATATATTCTCCTGTGTCTGTCAGTCTTGAAACCACCCAGTCAGACACATTATCCTGGGTCCACCATTCCTCCAGGGGTGTAGAAAAGTAGACGGTTTAGCTCAGAACACAGGCAAGAAAATGGGCTTGAGTTCTTACCCTGTCATCGGTAGTCTATGTTTCCAGATCCCAGAAGAGAAAACTGGAGCCCAGAGTTAGCTGGGGAACTCAGTAAAGTGATCCCACATAAAGACTTTCTCAAACACATAATGGATCCAGTTTCCAGTCACTCACCCACTCTAGCCTTCAGCTGTCTCAGTTCCTGGTAGATCCTCTCTTTCCCCTGGGAGCTGGGATCCTCCAACTCTGTTGTTAAGAAAAACGAACTAAAATGATTAAACACCTACTGTGCACCAGGCTGTGCACAGTGCTCCTTGGGACACCATTTCTGATGCGTATGGATGTTGTTTTTTTGGGGGGTGGGGGTTCTAGCCTCATTATAGAGGAGAAATAAATGGGGTGCTGGTGGCTCACACCTGTAATCCTACTACTCAGGAAGCTGAAATCTGAGGATCACAATTTAAAGCTACCTTGGGCAGGAAAGTCTGTGAGACTCATCTCTAAGGAACCACCAAAAAGCCAGAAGTGGAGGTGTGACTCAAGTGGTAGAGCATTAGCCCTGAGTGAACATGCTAAGAGATAATCCTCATGCCCTGAGTTCAAGCCCCAGGACTGGCACAAACAACAACAATAATAATAATAGTATAAAAGTGTCTGGCTTCCTGAGAAGGCTGATCCACAATGGCAAGTGTTCCCTCCTCTCCCCTGCAGCAGAGAGAGGGACTTTATGAAGCTTCTAGAAGCTAGTACAAGGCTTCACTCCCACCCTCCCTCCTGAATCTGGCTGCCCCAGCCAACAGGCCAGACCCAAGAACCCCCAAATCCTTGGGCCTGCCCTGACCCGGAACAAGAACAGCCGTCAACAGTCCAGCCAAGAGTGTGATCAAGAGCAGATGCAGCACCAGGAGAAGGTGACTCTGGCCAGGACACCCTGTAGGAGAGACGGGGGGGGGCAGGGGGAAGGAGGGGGAAGATGTTCCAGAACAGTCTCCCTGCCTCACCCCGGCCCAGAGACAGCCTGGCTACTTTTATCTTCCCCAAGCGCACAGGATTGTCATCACAACTGCTCCCTTTCCAGTGCTCAGTTAATCAGGTTTTCAATCTCCAGATCTAAGCTTTGCCCAGCTTAGGGACCCAGGAGTTCAAGACCTAGCCTTGTGAGGTCTCAGCCTTGACTTTGGAGACCCAGAACTCAAGACCCCAAATATAACTTCCTTAGGATCCAAGTATCCACAGACCCAAACTTCACCTCCCCAGACCCAGGTGTTCAAAGGCTCAGCCTCCACCTCCCCGGGATCCAGGTGACCCTATAGTCTTAACTTTCACCTCCCCGGAACCTAAGTGCCCACAACCCCAACTTCAGCCTCCCAACTGCAACCTCCCAACTTCAGCCTCCCAAGCTCTGTCCACTCTTTCCTCAGCTCCTGGCTATGATCTCTCTGCAAAAAATGACTGAATCCAGAAGTTGGCCAGCATCTAGAGCATTTAAGAGTGTCTGGTGACACTGTGATCCCCAAAAGCCATGACTTAGGCTGGCCCTGATAGAACCCCCTCAGTTCCAGCCCAGCCTCACCCAGATATTGCCTCCTCTCTTCCTCAGGGTCATACATGGTTGGGCCGCTGTCCCTCCCTGCCTGGGACTGCTGGGGACCAGCCGCTTTTCTGACCACAGCGTGTGCCTCACTCCTTTAATCTATTCTCAGGAAGAGAAACAGGGAAGTGGGTAGCAGTGTGGGCAGAAGAGGCTGGAGGAAGCGGCAGAGTTCATGACCCAACATGACTTCTGCCAGGCTCTCCAGGAATGTCAGGGACAGATGAGAAGATTAAGGGGCTGTACTAGGACCAAAAAAAAAAGTCCAAATAGGGTCTGGCTACAATGTGAGATGGTGTATCATTTGTAAAGATAAGGATCACAACACAACCTCTCCTCCACCTACAGGAAGGGCTGGACATTTGTGCCCACAGACTTTGTGCAAACACCATGGCTGATAACTTGAGGTTTGCTGCTGTCTTTAGTCACAGTGACTTTGATACTGAGATTAAGTCACTCCTCCTCCTCCTCCTCCTCCTCCTCCTCTTCCTCCTCCACCTTCCCCTTCTCCCTCTCCTTCTCTTTCTCCTTCTTCTCCTTCACAATCCTGGGGCTTGAACTCAGCACCTGAGCACTGACCCCTGAGCTTTTGTACTCAAGACTAGCACTCTACCACTTGAGCCACAGCTCACTTCTGGCTTTATTGCTGGTTCGTGGGAGATAAGAGCCTCATGGACTTTTCTACCAGGCTGGCTTCAAACTGTGATCCTCAGATCTCAGCCTCCTGAGTAGCTAGGATGACAGGCATGAGCCACCAGCGCCCACCAAAGTATTTGGTCTTTCTGATGACCAGCCCCATCCTGATGTTTCCTAGACCGCATCCAAATTACCTCATTGCCATAAACTCAAGTACGATCAGAAGAGTCCATTATGAATGGCAGAAAATCTCATAACCACTCAAATATCTGTGTGTGTGCACACATACATGCTGGTGCATGTGCCAGCATGTGCACACAAAATGCCACAGAGAAGAATCTGGAATGGGCAGAGAGCTAATTCCAGCAGAAGACATCTAACCATAGCTAAAGGGCCATGACATGATGAGGGCCTGAGTGTGTCCCTCAGAGTTGGACAAGCATAGACAGGTTGAGGGCAGTCTCAGTTGCCACCAGGATGTCACCAAGAGAGGAGGGAGCTGGGATATTTTTTGTTTTTTTGGTCAGCCATAGGTCTTGAACTCTGGTCCTGGGCACTGTCCCTGTGCTCTTCAGTTCATGGCAAGTGCTCTATCACGTAAGCCACAGCACCACTTCTGGTTTTCTGGTGCTTAATTGGAGATGAGAGTCTCACAGACTTTCCTGCCCAGGCTGGCTTTGAACCTCGATCCTCAGATATCAGCCTCCTGAGTTGCTAGGATGACAGGCGTGAGCCACCGGTACCCAGTAGGCTGAGGTATTTCTCTTTTTTGTCTTTTAATTTTTTTGTTTATTGTAAAGTACATTTCTTTTGAAACAATTGCCCGCTCCCTCATTTTCTCCTGCTTACCATTCCCCACTCCTCTCCCCCCATGCTGTAAAGGTCATTTCCTACAGTGTCTAGTGAGTATCATTGTTGCATTAGTTCATCCTTTGTCCTGCTACATCTGTGATTCCCTTTCCTTTCCATGGATCAGATGAGCTTATATACAAGACAAAGGGAAGAAAGAACAAAAACAGAAAGAAAAAAATAGAAATAACTGCATACAGGACATAAAAAGAACCTCTTGTTCCTAATTCTTGGAGTTCATTTTGATATGCTTCATTATATAGGGTCTTATGCACTTAGTGATTGGATTATTGTGATCCCCTGCTAAAAATATCATAAGACATTATTTCTAGTTAGAGCTGGGGTACTTCTAGACCAATGCAGACAAGCATTTGTTGACCACAGGAAGTAATTCCCTGGTGCCTTCAGTCTGAGGATGAGCCACAGGTACCAGGGAAAATCTTCAGGCAAAATGATGCAGGAGCCAAGCATGCATGACTCACTTCTGTCATCCTAGCAACTCGTGAGACTGACATCTGAGGATCATGGTTCAAAGCCAGCCAGGACAAGAAAGCCCATGAGACTCTTATCTCCAATGAAACACAAAAAGCCAGACATGGAGATGTGGCTCAAAGTGGTAGAACACTAGCCTTAAACCAAAGGAGCTCAGGGACAGCACCCAGGCCCTGAGTTCAAGCCCTAACTGGCAGGATGCAGGGGAGGTGGATGGAAATTGAGCAGAGGGAAAGAAGTATTTGGGGATGGCCTCAGCAAGAGAAGATCGAAAACTCATGGACCAGAAACAGATCGTGAGTATCTTCCACAGACAATGCAAGGAGAAATAACAACCACAACTTCAGAACGCTAGGAATCAGGATAGGATAGGAAGAGGAAGAAGAGCAGTGGTCCAGCCCACATAGGAATTTGGGAGAATTCTTTGTTGAGTTTTCAGTGGCCATAGATAGAGAGGAGGAACTACATGAATGGAATAAACTTCTCCCATATGAAAGAAATGTTCAAGCTGCTTAAGTGATAAGGAAAAAATAAATAAAAGCCAGGTGTCACTCTCTGGAGCAGGACAATGAAGACTTCTTGCAGATCCAGAATTTCTCCTGAACACATTTGTCGTGTTTCCATTCACATTCTCTAAGTTCTGCACAATCTTCTCCCTTGCTGTCAGAGTTGTCTGGCTTCCAATATTTCATGAGTCTAGAAAGACCATAAGAATATGAGCTGAGCCAGACACCAGTGTTTCATGCCTGGAATCCTAGCTACTCAGGAGGCTGAAATATGAATACTGTGATTCAAAGCCAGCCCAGGCAAAAAAGTCCATGAAACTTTTACCTCCAATTAACTACCAGAAAGCTGAAAATGGGGGTGGTGGCTCAAGTGGTAGAGCCCTAGCTTTGAGTACAAAAGCTCAGGGCAGTGCCTAGGCCTTGAGTTCAAGCCCCAAAACTGGAGAAAGGAAGGAAGGAAGGAAGGAGAGAGAAAGGGAGGAAGCAAGCAAGCAAAAAAGGAAGGAAGGAAAGGAATAAAGAAAGGAAGGAAGAAAGAGAAAGAGAGAGAAAGAAAGAGAAAGAGAAGGAAATAAGGAAAAAGGGAGAGATGGAGGAAGCAAGCAAGCAAAGAAGGAAGGAAGGAAAGAAGAAAGAAAGGAAGGAAGGAAGGCGGGTGGAAGTGAGGGAGGGAGGAAGAAAGGAAGGGAGAAGGGAGGGAGGGAGGGAGGGAGGAAGGAAGGAAGGAAGGAGAAAGGAAGGAGAGAAAGGAAAGAAGGAAAAGGAAAGCAAGTAAGCCTCTACCCCAGTCTCACTCTGTGGACTGTTTGTTCTCCTGGAAACTTGATGGGCCTACATCTGCCTGGATGTATATGGCAGATTCATTTGCTCTAGTATGCCTGAATTGCTTGACTGTGTCCCCTGTCCCTGGTAATATGCAATGCTTCACAAGATTTCTATTGCTCAGGCAATAGAAACAAAGCAACCCACCTAGTCTCCACACCACCTCTCTTACTGAACTCCTGCCATATGGGTCATTACTTACCTCCCTCCCCATTCCAGAACCAATACTAGGCAGCTAGAGGTAGTGTCTGCACCCCAGAATCCATATATAATTGATTAAAAGTAGTCTACCTTAACCTACATCATCTATTTTTTGGGGGGGGTCCGGTCGTGGGGCCTGAACTCTGGGCCTGGACGCTGTCCCTCAGCTCTTCAGCTCAAGGCTAGCGCTCTACCACTTGAGCCACAGCGCCACTTCCAGCTTTTTTCTTTTTGCTTATGTGGTGCTGAGGAATTGAACCCAGGGCCTCAGGCATGCAAGGCAAGCACTCTACCACTGAGCCACCTTCCCAGCCCCTACATCATCTATTTTTATACCCATGCAAACAACAGAGGCTCTGGCCTACAGAAACTCTACCATCTCCCATTGAATAGTGCAGCTGGAGGTGGGGGGTATGGGACAGGGGAGGAACCCCAATAATATATCAAGTCAGACCCTCAGCACTGCACCTCCCTCCAGAGCAAATTCTCTTGGCCTGCGATACCTTCGTGTCAGAGGTGAGCCATCCATCCAGAGCCAATTGCCTTCCTGTCTCACGTCTGAAAAACCAATCCAGGATGGGTGTTTATGCTTAGAGATCTCCACCAGAAAGTCCTGAAGGGGGAGGAGAGTCAGGAGGGCGCTCTGCACCCCCTTTGCAGCCAGTGTCGTCTCCCCAGTGTCCAACCTTCTATTGTACCCCTACCTGGGCTTAGGGAAGCCTCTGTCCCTTTTCCTCTGTGTATGCAGTGTGCAGTTGAGTTCTGGCTAACACAAAACACACACACACACACACACACACACACACACACACACACTTGGAAATAGGGCACACTTATCTGTCCTGTGAGTTCTGAGCATCTGGGCAGGAATGGGTTTAAGTGTTGGAGCCAATTCATGTCAGTTCACTATTGATGACTTTCCTCAATCTCTCCTTTTAGACTCTGCCCTGAGTGATACTACTCCCCTCCCCAGCCTCACCCCCCCCACTCCCTTACTCCATCAGCGGCTGGACCTCAGACATGGCAGCAGTATTTACACCAAGGGAACTGGAAGAGCATCCCACACTAACGCAATTTGGGACCCAGTAGCCAACAGGCCTATGGGTTCCCCTTACATTTTAAGGGTTCCTCCCTCCCCTCAAGAATGCATCCATGTTCAGGACTTGTGGGTGTCTCCTTGTCAGGTGCTTGGACCCCTCTTTCCTCACACCCTTCTTCTCCTGTCCTAGATTAAGCCCATCCTTATTGAGAAATTCTGTCTGACCAACCACCTCCTCCCAGCTGTGGCCAGAGGCCAGACACACAAATCCCCGGGACGGAAGCCCAGAGACATGTCCCTAACCTGCTCATCATCACTTTTGATGATGACTAACTGGGCCCCCACTTCCCGGCAGGCAGTAACAGAATAATTCCAGTTCCCTTGGGTCTTGGAGAGGAAGTAGCAGTTTCCTTGGAAGAACGTCCAGTCCCAGGGGCAGGGTCGGCAGAGGTGGTCTGTGGGAGAGAGGTTGTATGTCCATGTTCCTGTGTCTGTCCAGCCTTGAAGCCCTCCACAGTCAGCCCCCCTCCCCCTTTGGGTCACAGCTTCCTGGGGGGAACTAGCCATCTCCCTCTCGATTTCTTGATCCATTTCCACACTCCATCTCTTCCAGATTTTGAGAAGCAAGAGGTTCTGGAGCTCAGGTCAGGGGCCACAAGCCTGGTTAACTGAGTTTCTACAATGGACACAGCCACTTAGGGCCATCAGGTACCATCGTGGATGTTATTCTATATCCCATATCACAATGCCCAGAGATGGCTAGGGATTCAAGCACAGCAACATGACGTGGAGACTCTCTTAAGATAGATCCTTAGAGACCCATTTCTGTCACTCACCCACTCCAGCCTTCAGCTCAATGAGGTCCTGGTAGATCCTCTCCTTCTCCTGAGAGGTGAAATCATGGGAGTCTGGACCAAGTACAACAGAAACAAAAATTATTAAACACCTACTGTGTACCACATCTTGCACTATACCCTTAGGAGCACGACTTCTGACCATTGGTCTTGGTAAATCTCACTTAACAGGGAAAAGAATCTTATAGGGTGCCAAGTGGTTCAAGCCTGGAATCCTAGCTACTCAGGAGGCTCAGATCTGAAGATCGCAATTCAAGGGAAAACCTGTGAGACTCTTAGCTCTAATGAACCAGCAAAAAGCCAGAAGTAGAGCTGTGGTTCATGCAATAGAGTGCCAACCCTGAGTGAAAAAGCTCAGGGACAACATCATCCAGGCCCTGAGTTCAAGGCCCAAGACTAGAACCAAATATATCTGTATATCTACATCTGTGTGTGTGCGTGTGTGTGTATCAAAAGGAAAGAAAAAACTCTGACATCCAGGGAAGTATGAACCAGATGGAGTTAGGACTGCCTTCTCCTTGCCAGGAAGCAGAGGTGAAGGAGATAAGCAATTCCTGGGAACCATTAGAAGACACAAGCACGGCTTTCTCCCCAGTTCCTTCCTAAACCTGGTGGTCGCAGCTGATGGAGTGGACCAGAAAGCCCATACTCTCAGGCCTGCCCTGACCTTGAAGGAGGATGGCCACAAGAAGCCCAACCAAGAGTGTGATGGAGACCAGCTGCAGGACCAGGAGGAGGCAGCTTTGGCTCTGATACCCTGTGGGAGAGAAAAATGAGGTTCTAGGATCCCAATGTCCTTTCCTCACCCTGACCTCAGGATATTCTAGCATCTCCAGTCTCTTCCTCCTCAAGACACAGGAATTCCATGTCCCAGCTTCTACCTGCACAATGCCCAGAAGTCAAGACTTCTGTCCCTCCACTTCCCCTTACCCAAGGGTCCTGGGTCCCCAACCTCCCCTAGAACCCAAGCATTCAGGAGGAACTCTGTCCACTCCTTCTCAGCAACTGGCCCTGCTCAATCTGAGTCTGGAAGTTGGCTGGTGATCCTAGAAAGCCAGGGCCTAGGGCAGCCCTGACATAGCCCCCACAGTTCCAGCCCAGTCTCACCCAGATATTGCCTCCTTTCTTCCTCAAGGTCATACATGGTTGGGCCGCTGTCCTCCCTGCCTGGGACTGCTGAGGACATGCCACTTTTCTGACCACAGCCTCTGCCTCACTCCTTTAATCTATTCTCACTCAGGAAGAGAAACAGGGAAGTGGGTAGCAGTATGGGCGGAAGAGGCTAGAGGGAGGGGCATTGCTCAGGACCCAGCCGTGGCTTCTGCCAGGCTCTCCAGGAATGTCAGGGAGGAGTGGAGAAGCTTCAAGGGCCCACTCACAGTACAGTCAGGCTGTGTTAACGTGTAGCATAAAGCGATTTTGTTATGTCCCCTCCATGGACAATGGGGATGGAGCCCCCGGAGCTTCTAGAAAGAGTCTGAACCCAAGCCTTGCCCATCTCCTAGAGCTATTGTCCTACTCTGACAGTGCCCAGAGTGGTTTTGGAAACAGAAATTCCACCAAGGCTCCAGATGTACAGACACCGGAAATGAGAGACATCTACCAGACTCACACCCAGGATGGCTGATGCATGGACTGGGCCAGTGAATCCATGGAACAAGATGTCCCCAGGTCTCAAGGGTTCAGCATTCAATATGTGAAAGCTAACTCACCATCCAAAACCTTGCTGTCTGCCATGATACCTGATAAGCTTTCCTCTGTGTGTGTGTGTGTGTGTGTGTGTGTGTGCACGCGCGCGCGTGCATGTGTGTGCATGCTGATGTTAGAAGGACTTGAAATCAGGGCCTGAACACTGTCCCTTAGCTTTTTCATTCAATCCTGGTGCCCCGTCACTTGAACCACAGTTCTACTTCTGGTGTTTTGGTGGTTAGTTGGAAATGAGGGCCTTATGGATTTTTTTCTGCCCAGGCTGGCATTGAACCACTATCCTCAGATCTCAGATTCTCCCAAGTAACTAGGATTACAGGTGTGAGTCACTGGAACATGGCCTCCTTCTGAGCTTTCTTGATGTCTGTCACTTATTTTATGTCACTTATGTCTCCCTTTGGCAATTAGATTGAAAATCTGTGCCTGTCCTGTAATGCCACTGGGTCTTATCAGTTCTGCTTTGCAAATTGTCCCTGGCAAAGCTGTCCTCACTGTTTTCTCCTTTCCAGCATTTTTTATTTTTGAGATAGTCCTAGGGTTTAAACTCAGGGCATGGGCACTGTCCCTGAGCTATTTTTTTTTCCTGAAGGCTAGTGCTCTACCACTTAAGCCATAGCTCAGCTTGCAGCTTTTTTACTGGTTCACTGGAGATAAGAGTCTCACAGACTTTCCTGCCCAGGCTGTCTCTGAACTGCGATCCTCAGTTCTCAGACTCCTGAGTAGCTAGGATTATAGGCACAAGCCACTGGTGCCCAGTTTATTTCAAGAATTTCATCTCCAAAAGAAGCTACCAGTGAATGACGAAGATGTTAGCTGAAGGGCTCACTATCACAGAAAAAGAAGCAAAATAAAAAGGTTTCCTAAATAAACAAGATTTCCTTAATCAGTCATCCTTTTGTTAATTTTACAGAACCCAGAATGTGTATAGGCCTTTAGATACAATCAAAGTATGAGCTCTGGACTTTCCAGCCTTTAGTAAAAAATAGAATCCTGCCAGGTGCTGGTGACTTATGCCTGTAATCCTAACTATTCAGGAGGCTAAGATCCAAGAGTCACAGTTCAAAATCAGCCCAGGCAGAAAAATTTTTAAGACTCTTATCTCCACAAAACTACAAAAAAAAAATGCCTGGGGTAGGGCTGTGGCTCAAGTGATAGAGCACTAGCCTTGAGCAAAAGAAGCTCAGGAACAGGGCCTAAGATCAAAGTTCAAGCCCCAGGTCTAGCACACACACACACACACACACACACACACACACACACACAGAAGAATCATATTTAGCTTTCAAGGTCACAATGTGCTTGTATATAGGATTACAGAGACTGACCTATGGAAGTGATCATGGGTTGTTATGTTAAGGAAACTCTAGCACATAGGCAATAATCCAAGCTGCATATGATGAAGACCTAATAAGCATGTAGCCTTCCTTCCCATTATCCCCCTGAACCTCCTTTCCTTCCCTTAAAAGACTTTTCATGTACCTGAGTTCCTTAAGATGCTCTTCATTTGGGGATTGTTATGCTTTGAATATGAGATTCCCCCAAGACTCAGGGAAGGATGGTTTTGTTGTATAGATATCATTAATAAGTCATATTTACTGTCAATAAAAAATCTGCTTGGGGGGGCTGGGAAGGTGGCTCAGTGGTAGAGCGCTTGCTTTGCATGCCTGAGTCCCTGGGTTCGATTCCTCAGCACCACATAAGCAAAAAGAAAAAAAAAGCCGGAAGTGGCGCTGTGGCTCAAGTGGTAGAGTACTAGCCTTCAGCAAAAGCGGCTCAGGGACAGTTCCCAGGCCCTGAGTTCAAGCCCAGGACTGGCACAAAAAAAAAAATCTGCTTGGGGTTTGAATTGTCAAATCTATTAGAGTTATAATACATCTTCAACCCAGGGGACAGAAATACCACATCTACCCAGTGAACACCTAAATTTGTGACAATGTAAAGACTAACCTGAAGGAAAGACTGCAGATGACTAAAAGCCTATTGCGAAAATGATTCTTCAAATGGGTCACTTCCAACCAGAAGAATGAGCTATCTGAAAAAAACTATAATATTATAGTTAAAACAATAAGCACAGAGAAAAATGTTTTTAAAAAAAGTAAAAATACTACCAAAAGCAGAAAGAAGAAAGCTCTCATTCATAACAAGGGAAAAATCAAAACATTCCATGATAAAAACTAAAATAATTTATCACCAATAAACTGGTACAAAAGAAGTTAAGCAAAGACATCCTGCACACAGAAGAGGAAGATGAACATAAGCATAAAAAAGTGAACAAAACAAATTCCACCAGATGAGTAGATGTATAGAAGAAGCAGGAAGGAGCTTAACACTATTTCGTTTTTTAAAAGCTCATACTTTCAATACTTTTAATATTCATTTTCAATGGATTCAAGTCCCCTAATTAAAAGACATAGAATGGTAACTTGCTTGGATCAAAAGTCACAACTCAACCATCTGTTGCCTACAAGAAACACATCTAGGGGCTGGGACTGTGGCTTAATGGTAGAGTGCTTGCTTAGCATGCATGAAGTCCTGGGTTCAATTCCTCAGTACCAAGTAAAACGGAAAAAGCAAGAAGTGGCACTGTGGTTCAAGTGGCAAAGTGCTAGCCTTGAGCAAAATAGCTTAAAGACAGTGTCCAGGTCCTGAGTTCAAGCCCCAGGACTGGCAAAAAAAAAATTTTAAATAAAATTAAAAATTTTTAAAAAGAAAAAGAAACACATCTAATCTGGCCAAAACAACATTGACTTTAAAACATAGATAGACCCCCATAATGCGAGATCGTAGGGGATTTCAATACTGCACTCTCACAAGAGTATATCTAGACAAAAACTCAACAAAGAAATTTTATTTAAATGACACCATAGGGGCTGGGAATGTGGTTCAGTGGTAGAGTGTTTGCCTAGCATGCATGAACCCCTGGGTTTGATTCCTCAGTACCACATACACAGAAAAAGCTGGAAGTGGAGCTGTGGCTCATATGGTAGAGTGCTAGCCTTGAGCAAAAGAAGCTCAGAGACAGTGCCTAGGCCCTGAGTTCAAGCCCCAGAACTGGCAAAAATAAATAAATAAATAAAACCATAAAATTAGATCTAAAATACACTAGGATATAATAAATTATGCAGGATTCTAGTAGACTTACACATAGTGAGGCCAAATGAGGATACTCTTAGGAGAGAAACACAAAGACACAATGCCTAAATGCCTCTTCATATCTTTATAAAATACTGAAACCAACTCCAAGATATGGAAATAAAAGACTTCTTTCTTTCTTTCTCTGTCTTTTTTTAAGTCTTTAGTTTTTGGGGTTTTTTTGGGGGGGTCAGTAGTGGGGCTTGAACTCAAGGCCTGGGCACTGTCCCTGAGCTCTTTTGTTCAAGGCTAGTGCTCTACCTTGGAGCCACAACAACACTTCCAGTTTTTAAGCACTTAACTGGAAATAAGAGTCTTACAGAGACTTTTCTGCCCAGGCTAGCTTTGAAACACAATCCTCATATCTCAACCTCCTGAGTGCTAAGGTTACAGGCATGAGCTACTGGTGCCCAGCTGAGTCTTTCTTCTTTACCTCACGTCTGGTGTATTCAAGTGTACATCTTTGGAAAGGTTGGGAGGAGGATACAGAACTTGAGAGGAAAAGGTGAAAACTGCAGCAGTGGAGCTCAGTGGCCATTGATGAAAGTGAACTATACAATTTGTAGGGGGAGACAGAAGGGAGGAGCCGAAGACACTGTATGAAAGGAGATGTATTTATTACCTGACTCATGTAACTGCAATCTCTCTGTACATCACCTCCATAATAATAAAAAGGAAATTAATTTTTAAAATGATACCAGAGAGCCATCGGTCCTAACTCACACCTACAAAATATTTCAGCCAACAACTACACAATATACGTTCTTTTCAGAAGCTCGTGGAACTGTCTCCAAAACTGATCCTGCCCTAGAACATAAAGTAAATCTCAGCAAATACAAGAAAGTTGAAATCATCCCCTGGGTCCTGTCTTAACACAGTGGAATGAAACTAGAGGTTAACAGCAAAAGAAACTACAGAAAACTTTCAGGTTCCTGGATGCTGAACAACACGTTGATGACTGATGAGTAGGTTTTTAATTCAAAAAGTCCCTAAGAGTACAATGAACATGAAAACCCAGCTTTCCAGAACCTTCTAGGTCACAACAAAGGCAGTTAGTTCTCTGAGGAAAGTTTATAGCTACGAGAGCCTGTATCAGTAAAACAGAGGCCTCAAATGGACATCCTAAGGATGCACCTTAAACTCCTTAAAAATACAAGTCATAGCTAAACCCCAAACTAGCAGATGAGATGAAATAATAAATATCAGGACAGACATCATCATGCACTGGGGGCTGGTGCCTGTAATCCTAGCTATTCAGGAGGCTGAGATCTGAGGATCGTGGTTGGAAGCCAGTCTGGGCAGGAAAGTTCATGA